CCCACAGCGGGGACAGCGGCCCGGGGAGCGCTCCTCCTCCCGGCGTAACCCCGCCGGTGCCGTTGCAGGTGCGCTTGGCGATAGCCGAAAAAGCCCTGAAGTGCGAAGAGCACGATGTGAACCTGCCGCTGAGCGAGCACAACGAACCGTGGTTCATGCGCTTGAACTCCTCGGGAGAAGTACCGGTCCTGATCCACGGGGAAAACATCATTTGCGAGGCAACGCAGATTATCGATTACCTGGAAGCGACGTTTGTAGATGGTAATGCCGTAGGCGTTTCGGTGTGAAACCCTTCCCCACGCACCCGTAGCATGCAGCAGTGCTGGGGTCAGCTCCGTATCACTACGTGTTGGTTCGCTCAGGACCAGAAAACGTTTATAGTCTCACAAGTAAATGGGCTGTCCTGATAGTTGGTGGCACGGGGTAAAAGCACGTTCCTTTACAATGAGCCGAAGGCCTTCCAGCACCTTTACAAGCAGCTGTAAGGAGAAACCTACCCCTGTCCTCCTCACCCCTTCAGGAAGGATGGGGAAGTCAGCAATGGCAGCCCTGTGTTGCGCTAACCCTGCGCTGCCACTGCCGAGAAAAATAACGTGTTGAGCAGAGAGCCGCACGACAGCTCTGGTTGGGCAGGTCCCGCTTCTCTGCAAGAAGAAAAAGAAAGAACCTCAATTCCAGAATAATCTTGGTCGGAAAAAGAAAGTGGAATGAGTAAGCTAATTTTGGACCCTAAATGGAGTGAAGAGGTAAAGAAGTAGGAAGACAAAACTCAGAAGTGATCACATTAAATTCTTTGTGTCTGTGTTTCCAGAAAACAGGCTGCCTCAACTTTTGAAGGAAATGCAGAGTTGTAACTTTTTAGGTATGAAGAGGCAGCATTTTGCGTTTCAGGGGTTTAGCACTGCAGTTTCTAAGGCACGAAGAAAACTTCATTGCTGGGTGAACATAATATGTATTTAATGCTGGCTTTTTCATCAAATGCGGGGTTGGGGCCCAGGTAGATCAAGGGCTGGTTAAAGCTCAGTGGTGTGCAGGGATACTCCTAATCATGCTTTGAGCAGGATTCCTGTACTGTAATTTTTACAGCATTGCAGCTGTAGTAATGTTTCAGCCCTAACAACTTACTAGAACCTCAGTCATGCCCTGCTGTGAGAGGGTTAAAGGGTTGTGTGCCGTAGTCGCCCATTCCTAGAAGTACAAAATAGATGCTGAATCTGGTTTTCTCATTTGAAGGCTTCTTAAGTACGTGTTCATGTGGGTTGCTGCATAGGAATTGGAATTATTCAGACGTTTTAAAATGAAGTATGTGTATATACGTTTCTCTGAGCTGAGATGACACTGTTGAGTTTTGGTGGGGAACAAGCGAAGCTTTCTTAAATGTGGCTGTGTCATCTATGCCGGTTGGACGTAACTGAAGTAATCTTGGAAATACTGCTTTTGCTCAATGGTTCTTCTTTTCTTAACTTTATTTTTAACTTTGTATTGCAGAGGAAGTACCAAGACTGATGCCGGAAGAAGGGAGCATGTATTATCCAAGGGTGCAACACTACAGAGAGCTTTTAGACTCCTTGCCTATGGATGCCTACACGCACGGCTGCATCCTGCACCCCGAGTTAACAGTGGACTCCATGATTCCAGCCTATGCTACCAGCAGAATTCGTAGTATGTACCGGTATAGCTCTGAATGCCTGTCAGTTAATAGGACGCTGCATTACATTCATCTCGTGTCTTCGGTGCACCTTAAGCAGAATATATTGAGCACAGATTTCCAGTTTTAGGCCTCGATAATTTGTGCATATACTTTTTATTGATTTTGTAGTCTGTTATGATTTGAAAATGGGAAAGAGGAAGTGTCATTTTTGAGGTGTCTGTGGAATTAATTTTCCTAATGACTGAAAATGTGCTTCTTTTGCATAACAGAAAATGGCAGCTGTGACAGCTGTATTTTATTTTCTGATCTTGCTGTTCATGCTTATAAAGCAGTTTCTAGGGAGCAGCTCTCTTACTGCTCACATCAAACCACGACACTGGAGAAAACCCATTTTTTTTGTGACTATAAACTTGTAATAAGTTTACCTATTAAATTAAAGCTATTGCTTGCTTCTCTAAATGGTACAAATGCAGATTAGCCTCAATGAAACATAGTAGGCTTATCTAATGTATTGTAAGAGAATCATCAAGCCCTTTTTGTCTGCGGACTGTGCTAGTGTGTCAACCTGGTGCTGGGGGTAGGGAGAAAATAAAAAAGTGTGAAGAGGTAAGTAGTTTGGGTTCATCAGACCAACAGAAATTGTTAAACCTCAATTTAAACCAAAATCCTGGGTGCAAATAATGCAACAATATAGAATCGGGATAAAGGATAAACCAGTGGTCTGGTAGAATCAATGGTAAAATGTCCTTTGACTTCCTTGGCATCAGTATTTTACCTGATGGACTTTTATATACATACCAGTTTCCCATGAAGAAATATGTTAAGGGCAGAGGAGATTAACTGTAGACTATGTTGCCCAGTCCCCTTTATACCAGAGAACCTCCTGAAATTAAATCCTGTTTCAAATCCAGTAGTTTGGAGAAATACTAAGTTTAAACAAATTTCAGCGATATTCAGAAAAATCCTTGTCAAATAATCTTTCAGTTCTCCCAGCTCTTTTTTCTTTTCTTTTTTTTTTTTTTCCCCCTAGGTTTGGATGCCAGAACTGAACAGCAGATTCTGTTCACTTTGGTATCAGATAGGGAGATAAATATTTAGTTCTTTATTCTTGGGTTTTTTTCACTGTATGTACATTCAAGGATTCCAGCATTACTTTCAGCTGCAGAATTGCACTGGGAATCCTTGTTCAGCTGGTTGTGGATCATGACATCAGTCCAGCTTTTCAGAACTGCTTGCAGACTTCCAGCCCTCTCACCAAGAAACGTGGCCTGTATCTTTTGCTTCGCTTTATATTTTACATTCGGCTGCGTTGAAACGATTGTTTGCCTAGGCCCAGTTTATCAACTAGTCCAAACCACTGGGTATCAGTGACATGCTTTTTTCTCGATTTACATCCCTTCTAGTCTTTGTACCATGGCAAACTTCAGTTAACGCTTTTATGTTTCCTTCTAAGTATTACAGAAGAACTAAATAGTTCTAAGACAAGGATCAAATCCTGAGAATGTGTCTGGATGACAATTCCCTGCTTACGGTTATGTTCTGAGATCTCTGATTTTTTTTTTTTTGTCAATGTCAGTGCTTTATATTGTGTTGATTTTTTGGTATGATATTTTAGAATGCTCTGTAGAACAAAGTCAAATACTGCTGTGACTTTGAAATATAATACAACAATACTATTACCAAATTCATGTTAGCATAAAAGATGTTACTGTGTCAGTTTGAAAAGTCCTATTTCCAACAAACCGTGTTATCCTCCTCCTTAAAATTTTTTGGCAAGTTTGTTTTCTTACTGCCCATGCTGTTGTGTTGTCAGAAGTGAAGTCAGGCAGTTAGTTTTCCTTATAGTTGCATGAGTTATCCTTTATAAAACATGAGCACAGAATTCGTTTTCTTTCTGTCTGCTGGAAACTTCTTGAGCATTGCAGAAGTCAGTGTTGCTGGTCCAATGATCAATGGTTATTTAAAAAGAAATTCTTTATAAAAAGTATCTGGAGAGATTTAGAATGGGTAATTTCAGCACGAGTAATTAGCATTCCTTTTTTTTACTCATATAACATGAATTATTCTCTTATAGCACTGTAATGTCTGGTTTTGTTGTTGTTTTTTTTTTTCCTAAATGTGGATGCTAGATGCTAACTGTTTATTGAACAATTCTACTTTACTCGTAGGCATTATTGATAGTTTTTGTGTTTTCACATGGTAGTAGTCAGTGCTTTTATTATGGTTCCCTTTACAATGTTGTCTTGTGTTCTGCTGACCATATGTATTCTTCCCCTCTAGCTTCTAGTTGGTATAAATTGTTGTCAATTTATACACACATGTTCATCTTGGTAGAACTAAAATTACTACTTGTCTAAACTGGGGTATTTTCTTATCTTTTTATACTTAAAGCATAGCCTGCTTTCTTGATTTGAGGCATTTTTTTGAATAGCTTGTGGGTGTTCCTGAACAATTCCTTTGCTTGTTCAAACTTCTGCTGGATGGTTTATTTTTCAGCTTTGAAAAGCTGATCTTTTTCAGAGTGCTAGATATAATGACCCACCAGCTAGTTATGAATTATATTTATGCATACCAAATCCAATTAAGTAATTGATTGCAATGTAAGATTTTAGTTGTGTGATTATATCCTTCAATTTCTTCATATACTGTGTTGAAAGATGGCTTTCACAGTCATGCCAGGTTGAAACAAAGAATATATAAAACAGTGAGTTCATTATTCTCTAGCAAGAATATTTTATCAGTTTAATTTATAAGTCTTAATTGGAACTAATCTTAATTATCATGTACAAGTGAGAGGTGATTCATGCCCTATAATTATTCTTTTGTTCTCAGTTTATTACTAGAAATATTTATTTTTAGAAGATAACTTATTATTCACCATCTTTTGGTATTCTGGTTCTGTAAGTATGACATTTTCAAGCAAAGCCCCATTTTAAAGAGAGAAAAGTCTGTACACATAGTAAAAACTAGTAAAATTATCTTAAATTTTTACATCATTCCTTCTTTAAGTCATGTGATAAATGTTTTTCTAGTACATCCATATACTATGTAATGAACATTTGTCACATTTTAGCTAACTGAAAAGACGTTGGTTCCATATTCAGTGATATTTAGGCTTTTGCTGTGGAATTATGCATGTGACCTACAGAAAATCTCAGTATGGGCCTATCTGCACTTTCACAGCAGGAAAAGTGTGTTAGGAACCCAGGAACTGAGGTATAAAAACACCAGAGACCTAAGGTATTTGTAGTAGAATTTCATGGATTAAACACAGTTTTTGGCAGCAAAATGCTTTTATCTGAATAAGAGAAAAATATTAACAAGAATTCCTCATTCTTGCCTGGCAGATCACCACTTACAGAGTTCATTGCAAACTGATGAGCGGAACAGTGGGGTCAATTTATGCAGCAGTTAAGTTTTCCAAAACATGATGGTTTTGAATCCCAACTTGGTGGTGATGCTTCATTGAAGTACCACTTCCCATTTCTTCAGTATTTGTACACAAGCTGTTGATTAGTTTCTGTGGATTGCATTACGGGTACATTTGGATGTATAATGTCATTCCTTCGGGTCTTTTTTGTATCAGGCCAAATAAGTAACACAGAATCAGAATTGAAGAAACTTGCAGAAGAAAATCCAGACCTTCAAGATGCCTATATAGCAAAACAGAAGCGCCTTAAGGTAAGAAAACTCTTTATATTCCCCCGCTCTTTATTATGAACTTGTTAGTGTCAGATTTTTTCTGTCACCATGTAAACATTTGTTTCACCTGTCATTACCACTAACGTCATGCAGTGGTTTTACGCTACAAGGCACAAAGCAGTCTGTCCCCCAGATCAGCTACATACTTCAAATGTGTGCTGAAGTATTGGACTGGTCCCACTGATTTCAAAGGTAAGTACACATCAGTGCTGGTGTTGGGCTGTTAAGCACCCTGCAGGGGTGCAAACCTCGGCAATCCTCAATATCTAGCATCTCTAATGTTTTTCTTCTGTTATCTGAACTGTCACCAGTATCCAAATGGTATCCAGCTGTCTATGCGGAGAAAAGAATCACATTTTATGAATAAGCACTGTAATATCTAAGTAAAAGTTCTCTCTGATAAAAGCATGAACTCTGTACACTGATTAAAACACTAACCTGTATGTATATTTAGTCTAAACTGCTGGATCATGATAATATAAAATACCTAAAGAAAATACTGGATGAACTGGAAAAAGTTTTGGATCAGGTTGAGACTGAGTTACAGCGGCGAAATGAGGAAACACCAGGTGAGGAATTATTCTTGCTAAATTCTGTTGATGCTTATGTTTGGGGAGACTGAGTAAACTTGTTAACAGCACCATTATAGAACTGTGTTTAATGTATCTGATTTGATACTTGTGGAATATAGTGAGTATAATTAGCTGCACAATTTTGTGACATTTTATCAACAAAATAAGAAAAACCTTAACTACAGAATGCTATTCTTGATGTTGCAGTTGACAATCTTGTGTAAATACTGTGCTGATACTTGTGGTATATGCCGAATTAGCCATCTGGATAAGTGCTCTAATCATTAAGCAACACCTTCCACCACCCTCTTGGAAAGTAGTGGTGTTTACCTGCTGTCCACCCAAATGAAAGTCAATTTTTGTTTAAATAGGATTAGTCTTCTGCTTATTCAGAGTCTGGTCCAACTCCCAGTCCTGCTAGTAGGAATCCTTCCTCTGACTTCACTGGGAGCTCCATGAAGCATCAGTCAATATCAGCTGCATCTGCTGAAATCAATAACTCTTTGCATTTGTCTCTATGAATAGCTGTTGTAATAATTATCAGTTACTGTTAAGACAGTAGATTTGAACCGGCAATTGAAAATCTAGGTTAAATCTTCTAGTGACTCAACAGCGGAAGTCACAGAAAATGTTTTAACTCACAAAGGACAGTAGGATTTTGTTCAGCAAACTAAGTCTGTCACCGTTTCTACCAGCCCCTTTGCTTTCTCTGTGAAATAGCCTTTCCAAGGAGTCAACTGATATAATATTGATGAGCTTATGAAAGCTTCCAGGATCACAGGATTTAGTAAAACATATGACTATTACTTGCTTCTTGGAATTTTGTCCAAGGTATTCACATTTTTGAGGTTTGTGAACCATGCTTCTCCAGGTCCTGCTCAATCTCCAAGCTTCTGCTTCTCTTGCTACTGCTCAAATCCCTCATTCAGTTATTGCTACTGGCGCTGCAGGCATCTTTCTTTCACACAGGTTAGCTTCTTTGGTCTTTCTTTCCATCATCTTACTTACTTAACGTACTGGATGCATCCCCAGGTTTCCTTTCAGCAACATAGGATACACTAATTCTCTGCAGAGGCCTTTTTTCCAGACCTGCATAATTGGTCAAAATAGGCTGGTATCAGCCGTGTGCCAAACTGTTGCTTTCCTCTGGTGGAAAAGGAGTTGGAAAGAGACATTGCAAAATTTCTCTGTTACCACAGAGGTGCTGGCTGAATGTTCATGCCAGCAGTTTTGCATGCCTGTTGTATGGGAAGAACTGCAAAAGGTTGCAAATGAGGAGAGAACGGCATAGTCCTATTTGAGATGTAGGCTAGAGCAGAGTACTCAAGCTGGCAGCTGTGCTAACTACCAGATTTCATATTCTGGGTTTCAGAAGCCCTTGGTGTAGTCAGTATAGGTCAACCTTTTCAGGCGATGATGGTTCAGATCACTGAAGAGGCTGCTTGGCAGTGCCTGCTCTGAGCCATCCCAGGAAGATTCATCTCTTTCCTGTGACTGGAGGGGGGGCCTGGGGTCTCCATCTGTGCACCTGACTAATGGTGGGCAGTGTGAACATCCATCGCTTCTCAAACGTCTCAGTGTCAAACCCCCATGGTCTGGGGTCTAGGAGGAAGAAAGGAAGGATGGGTGGACAAACTGTCTTCTCGCTGAGCTGGTGTGTTTGCTGCAGGTCAGTCATCTGCTCCGTTTCTTTTTGACTTGAAAGTCTCTAGCAAATTAGCAGTTCTTGAGTGAATGCCATAGAGCTGAGTGACACAGGCAAGATGATAAATTCTTCAGGCAAGTGGTAGCTTTTCAGTAAAAGCTAAACTGCTTTCCTCCTTTCCCCTCCTGTTTAATTTAATCCAGATTTGAGAAATGTAATTGAGGAAAGTAAATGTTTACTGCGGGTTTTAATTTATAAACCTGAAATGTGGCTCTTTTTTCCTTAACAAATGCAGGCTAGGCTGTTGAGCCTAAGACTACAATGTCGTGTGAAGAATGTACAGGTATTAGTAAAATGTTCAGTAATTAAAGTCACATCTTAGCTGAAGTGTTGGTGGTGTTCATTAGACAGCATTCTGAAATAGCACTAAACTAAGTGTTAGCCCATAGAGGCTTCAGTGTGTGCTTGTATTCCATTAGCTCCTAATTCGTTATGTTTTATCTCTGCTTAGAAGATGAAAATCAGCCTTGGCTCTGTGGTGATTTCTTCAGTCTGGCAGATGTATCACTTGCTGTCACATTACATCGCCTGAAGTTTCTGGGATTAGCAAGAAGAAACTGGGGAAACGGAAAGCGGCCCAACTTGGAAGCCTATTATGAGCGTGTCCTGAAGAGAAAAGCATTTTACAAAGTTTTAGGACATGTCAACAATATATTAATCTCGGCTGTTCTGCCAACGGCATTCCGCGTGGCCAAGAAAAGGGCGCCCAGGGTTCTTGGCACTACCCTGCTGGTCAGCATGCTGGCAGGAATGGGTTACCTTGCTTTCATGTGTCTTCGGAAGAGGTTTGCTAACATGGTGTTATCGATTAGAACTAGGCAACGTTATTTTTAGACCCATCTGTCGCTGGTGGTGAGCGAGGGCATCTCTACCCCCCAGGAAAATATCCCAAATAAAATATAGACGTAGAAGAAAGGTTATGTCTGTGAATTAGAACATTGTCACACAGTAATTGTCTCCTGCTGTTGTATAATTGGATGGGCAATGCCGAGATATTTGTGGAAAATATATGTTCAGGGGACAACAAAGGAAAGAAGAGACTTTCTTTTCAGACGAGGACCTGTAAGGGCTGTGACAGTGCATTGTTAAAGTGGTTATTGTCTCCTTTACCCAGTAGCTGACCTAATTATAGTGCTTTTATTTAATAGATATGCAGCAATGTGACAGCTTTTCACTGTAGGTGAAATGCATTACGGTGCAGAAACCAGCATTGTTGAAATACTGAAAATAGCACTTTAAATGCTCGGACTAGGATTTAAGTGGAACATAGGCTCCGTGCCTGTTCTGTATGGGAGTGTCTCTATACAGATTAATGTCTACTGATTTGCAGTTGGACCTTTAGGAATGTGTTAAAGTGTAGTCTTTCCAGAGCCACTTTTGTCACCGTATATTCATGCAGCAGTACAGGAAGAGACCTGAAACACATATGAACACCAGTGATTTGTGGGCTACACAAGTGAAATTCTCCAGAGGCATCAGTGGTCAACAGATGCTAGACTTCTGCTGAAATACAAATGGGAGTGAAAAACCTGACACTTGTCTTTTGAAAGCCTTTTGGGTAGCCTTTGGCCCAGCCAGGTGCCCTGCTCAGCTGCAAGCCCTGGCTGAGTTGAACCAGACTGTCTTGGTGCACATTTCCTGCTTTCATAGGGGTGGCTTGACACAGTTGTCTCCATATTGGTGTCCCATGTACCTTTACTTGTTTCCACTCTGAGCACTGGCTATTTTTTCCACACTCCTTGGCTATGTTAGCAATTGCATGTGCCTCTATGAAATGTTTGCCCACAACGTGCCACAGCCAACATATGCACAACAATTCATTTTGCAAAAGTAATTTAAAATTGTTCACTATCTTTCAGTCTGGTTAGGTAGCCTAGACTGAAGGTGAACCTGTAGTTTAGCAATCTGTTTACTTATGGAGAGGTATCATTTTGGTGGTAAATGAAAAATATAGGTCAGTTTGGAGACAGGTGATTTGTACTGCAGATTTCTTTGCAAAGCTGCACTCTTGTGGTGTGTAGGAAAGGTGTAGAAAAACACTTTGATTACTTCCCACTACTCAGCAGATGCTGAGAGTTTTATTAGGTTTGAACTGAGCTCCCATTTCAATGAGAAATGTACATTTACCTGAAGGTAATCTTTGAATCATTTTGCAGCAAGAAAGCAATTGGGAAGGGCTGAAAATCCTCATGACAGTTTAGTAAGATTTTTATATTCCTGATGAATGTCTGAAAGCCTCAAGAGTTTTGTTTACAAGTTGTAGATAACTGCAACAAGCAAAACATAGCTTTAAATGTTTGTCTATCAACCACTAGCTCTAAGAGGCCTAAGTACATTTTAGATCCAGTGCTAGTGGCTGTGGTCTCTCTGCACAATTGCTTTTGAGCATCAAGAAGATCCTCTCTCAAGTTCGCTGGAGAGAACTGAGGCAGTTTCTGTCTGGGCGGTCTCACCATCTAGCAGACAGCAAAATAGATACAATTGTTGAATATTCCTGCTTATAATTTAATATTGTGCTAATTGTGTAGCAAAAGAAGACCTAAATATCATTGCTCCTTTTCAGTAATAAGAAACATCTTACCTAGGAAACAATGCTTTTTTTAATTTGTCAAAAAGACAGTTTTTTATTATTCTATTTCATGACCCAGTTGTTCTCAAGAACTTGTTGAATTAAATGTGCTCTATGTGGAAAATATTTATCATCTCCAGAGTAAGTTTAATCCAACAATACTATTAACGTGCTGGCAGCTTTGAGTTTGTATATTGCAGTTCATCTGCATTTCCTTGTAACCAAAAAAATTCCACTAAGTTAACGAAAATAAATCACTGTTAACACAGAGTGAGGCCTGCAACTTAATGTTTCTCTGGCCTGTATTTCTTTCAGGGCCATCTGTAAAATAGAATCTGATCAAGTCACGGTAAAATTCAATATATAGGACTTAGCTTTCTTCAGAATTAATTTATATTTTACTTTTTCCTTCCTCTTTTTTTTTTATGTGTTAGTTCTAGATAAGAACACTTAAATTGCCAGAGGTGTGCCCGTTTAGTTCATACTAGCAGCCCCGTGGGCTGTGACACAGGTTAATTATCGCTGAAGCAATTTTACTTCCGCCCAATCCTCAGTGATCTCTGCGCTTCAGCCTGCCAGGAGCTGCAGGTACTGTTGGGAAGGAATGAAATGACCACCAGATGTCAGTGGTCCTCCAGGGCTACACTTTGGCATGCCTCTGAGATGTGCAGGAAAGCACTAGGTTTCAGAAACAAAAAGTTTGTGATCTCAGCATAAAATGGATGTGAGCATCCTCATCAGACTAGCAGACTTGCACGAGCTCCTGAAACAACTGCTTTGGCCTGCTACAGGTTCTTTGGTACCTACCATTTATGATTGTGTGTAGTTTCCACACTGGATAAATAAGGGGGCAAAGCTGAAATAATATTTCACATTAACATGAATGTCATTGAACAGCAATTAAACTTGTCATCTGCAGGAATGGACATGGATAAAACTTTTACTGTGGAAAAGTTTGGATCCCTAGTTTAATTCATGTCTGTTCAACTCTTTGATAGCCTTACTTTCACTGCCCTGAAGTACTCTGTGCGACATTGATTTCTGTACAGGTGGCAGCAAAAGGCTTATCCTTGATTAAATTCCTCAAAATAGGATGAGATTTAGAAGCACATAGGCTGTATATGTCTCTTCGTGCAGCATAGCTTTTGTGTGGTTCTTGTAAAGTTTCTTTTCAGCCTAGCTTATTTTCTTTCCCGTGGTACCTCTGTATACTATTTAAATCGGATACACAAGCAATCTTCTGGTTTTCATTTACTGTTTGCTCTCATATCACACATCAGATCTATTTCATGTCATATCTTTGTATGTAGGACCTGCACAATAAACATTGATTCTAAGACCACTTTCTGGACTGGTTTATGTTGTCTGTATCGGTAAAACAAAGCATATTTGAGGATCACACAGCATTGCTGTAAGTTGTTCGATGCTATTCAAAGAGAGGTGCCTCTGATATTTCAGTTTAAAAGGCATTCAGCAGATTGCCTCGCATGTATGTGGAAATAGCAGTTACAATGATAGTTTGGTTGCCTGTCTGAGCTGGACATGCGTGAGGCTGAACAGAAGCCGCATAATAATGTAAAAAGCCCATTTAAAGAAGAAGGGCAAGCAGGTTTTGTGTTTTCAATGAATCCATACCAAAAAAACCCCCACTTCCCTTCTGAGTGTGACTCTGAGTCTTGGCTTACATTGCTGAGCTGCAGAAGCTGGGGCTCCTTTCAGTAAGGTGCATGATAAACATATAAGCTGTGGTCATGCTGACGTTGTCCTTAACCAGACCAAACAGTGTGCCCCGAGCAGTGTTAGTTGGGCCATAAGCTTTTTTTTTGGGGTTTTTTTTCAATCTTGCAGTCTGCATTGGACCTCTGTCCTTGTTAAGCAGAGGAGTAGACAACAGCACTCGAGGCTTGCATGCATTTCCTCTCAGTATTTCAAAAATCATCAGGGCTGCTAGGATCAGGTATACAGCTGGTAGGGCCTGAGTTTCAGGAGATAATGACACCTGTGGTCTACGGACCAACTTTGAGGTAGCCTTGATGTTAGCATTGATCAGAAGTATACCCAGAGCCCTTTTGCTCTGAAAAGCTTATGCCTAAACAGACAAGAGGAGCAAGAGTGAACGGGATGGTAAGCATGGCGATTATAAAGACCTTGACCAGACTCACGTAGCCATACGTCCGCTTCGGTATATCACATTTTTAAGGGCATTTTTTACCTAAGTCTTAATTTTATGAGAGCAAGGAACTACTAAGGTTTAGAGAGCAGATTGGCATGCCCTAATTTGTGAGGATTAGAGATAGCAGTAGACAGAAAATAGAAGAAAAGCAGTGGATCTAGCTAGCTGGAGCACACTGCTCTGCAATAAGGCATATGACAGATTATTCTTTACTGAGGCCTCCTTATTAAGTTTATCTCTCCATTTAGCTGATGTTAGACAAAGAGGTGTAAGGTTGTGTTTAGGCAATTTATAATATGTGCTAAGGAAGTCAAAAGCATGTAGAAAAATCCCAAACAAAATATGGGGTTTTTTTCCCCTCTTTTCTTTAAAAAGAAATTTTTAGTTTTGGTGCAGTACCAAGTCACAAAGTCAGGCACTCAAAACTCAGGAAATTCCAGAAGCCGGAGTTCTTACAATACTGTTAACTCACTCATACAGTACTTCAGTAGCATTTTTATTTCTGTTTTTCTTTCTAACTTACAATCATTCACTTTAATATGAAGTTAAAAATGTTGCACTGTAAAATAGTTAACCTGTCGATAAGCTTAGTGTTGTGGGAAGGATCTGTTGGAATTTGCAGAGCCGAAGGCCTAGCTATTTCCATCTTAGCTTTACATCAGCATTAATTTTTACTACAGTTTAAAATACTCATAAGAAATTGTGTAAAAGTATATTGTGTAAATAATACTTAATAGAATAAATCAATATTAATCTACTTTATATGTATTAATATACATCTATCACCTTTATATATATTCTATATAATATCCCTATTTGTCCCTTCCATATTTCTTCTGCTAAAAATGTCTAATTGACAGTTATGTATATTACTATGTTATTTATATTTATCAAATACAGCTCTAAAGCTAAAATGATGAAAATTTGGTTGATTTATTTCAAATTCACACAGTGAGAATTGTCCTTCATGGTTCAAACTCCATGCTTTATTATGTGCAATTTCTGAGATCTTTTGTAGGAGGACTGCAGACATTGTCTAAATCCCACTCTGAAGGCAGGTATAATCCCCACCAGCAGCCTGGGGGTGAGTAAAGGAGAGGTTCTGTGAATACTGTGTCCAGTTTTGGGCCCCTCACTACAGGAAAGCTGTTGTGTTGCTTGAACATGTCCAGAGGAGAGCAACCAAGCTGGTGAGGTGTCTGGAGCACAAGTCTGATGAGGAGCAGCTGAGGAAACTGGGGTTGTTCAGTCTGGAGAAGAGGAGGCTGAAGGGAGACCTTATCGCCCTCTACAACTGCCTGACAGGAGGTTGTAGTGAGGTGGGTGTTGGTCTCTTCTCCCAGGTAACGGGCAATAGGATGAGGGGAAATGGCCTCCAGTTGAGCCAGGGGAGGTTTAGGTTGGACATTAGGAAAAATTTCTTCACTGAAATGGTTGTCAAGCATTGGAACGGGCTGCCAGGGAAGTGGTTGAGTCCCCATCCCTGGAGGTATTTAAAAGATGGGCAGATGAAGTGCTTAGGGACATGGTTTAGTGGTGGGATGGCAGTGTTAGGTTGATGGTTGGACTTGATGATCTTAAAGGTCTTTTCCAACCTAAACGATTCTATGATTCTTCCACAGCTAAAGAACCAAAGAGAAACAGCTTCTCTAAAGGAAATTGCTTTTCAGGCTGAACTGGGGAGCAGGTGGAGAGGGAATGAGTCAGGCTGCTTGTGTCACCGCCATGGTTTTGTGTGGGGTTGTGTTCCCCTTCACTCTTTCTGCATGAAACGTCATTGGCTGCAGTCTGTCTTTATTTACTTTGATAGCATTATATTAGTATTTCATGACATTGGTAACATCGTGACTGTAGGGACTTGAGAATACACATCAATGTATTTGGTGCTTCTTGTTAGCTGATCAGCCAGATCAGAAGCTGAATGCTACTGCCTTTAGTCTGGACAAAAAGCTTTAGCTGTTGAGAAACAATTGCCATCCTGAAAATTGCTCAGTTAGGGCTTGTTTCAGAAAGGTTACCTAACTTGCAAGCGTTTAAGCAGGTGGTGCCTGTGTTTCCCTACGCAGCAGAAAATAAAAACATTCATGGGGCCAGACCAGGTGTGAGACCACTGGTTCTGTCACCTGCTGGCTGAGGCACCCACCTTCCAGAAAGTGAAGTCCTTCTCTACCAGTTTGTATTGAAGTCTGTAAAATTCAGAAGGAGCAAGGAAAACTCCCCTCCTTGTAGGTACGTGCCCTTATGCAGTAGGTTGCTGAGTCAGGCTCCCTCTTCGTGAGCACGAAGCATGTCCGTCTTTGCAGAGGTCAGTCATGTCCTTTGACAAAAGGTAGTTTGAACCCACAGAGGGCCAATGAGACTCAGCAACTTCATGGAGAGAAGGGCCTGCCACACAGCCTCCTCTGCCAGCTATGTTTAAAAGCCAGCAGTCGGCAAATGCTGACCTCTTGGAAAGAACGTATTTAGGTGCATAACACAAGTTTGGTGAAGGGGAAGGAATTCCAGGCTTTAGAGCCCAAATGAACCAGAGAAGAAAGTGTCCAGAGAAGCTCTATCACTGTTTCTTCTGGTCCAGCTCTGGGTGGATCTTCTGCAAGTGAAGAGAGGCTTTTGGATTGCCCCCGTACAGGATGTATTTGTTCTACGTCGCTTCAACTGTTTAACTGGTCTAGAGGTCTGGATTGCACCCCAGAGCCAGAGGCAGTAAAAGTAGAAGGAGGCACTGCTTAGATTTTCAGATCTTTTAATAGAAATAGCTCCGGAGACAAAGATCTCACAGGAAGGCTGTACCAGATGAGGCCAGATGCTCTTTGTCCAAATCTGGTGCTTTAAGCAGTTGTGCACCCTTCCATTGTACTGAATTTTAGAGAGCTCTAAAACACAGAGGCAGAAGCCACTAAAAGTTACAGAGGAAACAAAATTGGCCGACCTTGCAGTAAGGAGGTATCAAGATTTCAGTTTCTAACAAAAGAGCCAGATTCAGATCTGGTATGAGTCACTGTTACAAAAAATGTAGTGGTGCATCTACTTACATTGGATCTGAATTTGATTTTAAAGTCATTATGCCATGAATCACATTTTAAGACTTTGCCTTGAAAAGTTTTGTTTTAATCAACCTATTTGTTAGAGACAATGAAAGCTACACAATACCTTTCTGAAAAAAAAAGGGTATATGCAGAGCTTAAGCTCTTAAAAGCTGTTTAAGCTTTTAATATGAGCAGCACGTACTGAATCAAAAATTTTGGAATATGGAGCTATTTTTGGAATAAAGAATTCTTTTGAAACAAGTCCAAGAATGTATGTTTAGGACAGATTCCAGAACAGCATCATAAATTTTTTATTCTTTGGATTTGAAAGAGAACCAAAAAGCTATAAGCTGACTTCATTTTTCTGTTGTTAACAGCAAATTGTGACCACGATACAAGGAAGCTCCAGCAAATAAAAAAGTAACAGATTTCTCTTCTATGTGTATATGTATTAAAAAAAAGAGTAAAAATAACTGTGCTTAGTTAATTTTCTTAGGAATGTCATACAGGATAAGAGTTCTGCACATTCTCGCGTGTTATAAGAAATTCTCAGGATCCTTTTGTGAGAAGGAAAAAGGTGCAAATACTCCCAAAATGGCTGGCAGAACAGCAACACCAGCAAGATCAGCTGAGACTGCGGTTCCACATCTGCAGCACACAGAGATAGAAGCCCAACAGCAACTGAAAGAAGTTCATTGCAGTCCCCCAGCCTTGTGTGACGTGGGAGAAGAAGCAAAGCAAGTTTCAAACCCAGCACAAGAAGTGGCAATGCTTATACTCAGAAATCCCTCAAGCTGGTTGCACAGCTAAACAACTAAGGTGTCCCTAACATCGCTAGCTATTTTGGAATGAGCAGATACTTGGTGTTTGCACAGGCTGTATTACCAGTGGCTGTACTGTCCAGGGATAATGCTTTGGAGAAGGCCTACATATGGAGATCTGGAATCAGGAAAAAGTTTGTATCATCTTGTGCTTATATTGGTGTAGAGAATGGCTTGAAGATGTATTTATGAAGAAAAGCATATTCCTGTCTTGCTCTTAAAGACACAGGGAGAAAAGGAGGCTGAGGGGAGACCTTATCACCCTCTACAACTACCTGAAAGCAGGTTGTAGTGAGGTGGGTGTTGGTCTCTTCTCCCAGATAACGGGCAATAGGACGAGGGGAAATGGCCTCCAGTTGCTCCAGGACAGGTTTAGGTTGGACATTAGGA